CCTATGCTTCCTAACTGACCCTCCCACTTAAGACCTGCACCTTATATTCTGTTCTCTATATAGCCCCCAGAGAGATCCTTTTAAAACATGTCAGAATATACCACTTCTCTGCTCAAAATTCTCAAATGGCATTCCATATTACTCACTAAAACCCAAACGCTTACAATTGACCTTAAGGCCCTAAATTATTCTTCCCCCCAGCTATTTCTCTGATCCCATCTCCAATGCTCCCCTACTTGCACCCTGAGCTCTAACCGTAGGAGTTCTTTGCCATTCCTCGGATACACTAAGGATGCACCCACATGAGGGCCTTGGCACTGGCTGTTTCCTCTACTTCACAGGACACTCTTCCCCAGGTAACCCCAGAGCTAACTCTCACTTCCTTCAGTTGTCTTCTCATGACATTCCCCATAAGGGTCTTTTCCAAACACCCCACCTACAAAAGTAGATCCCCCAGCACTTTCGGCTTTAGTTTTCACCGTTGTGCTTGTCCCCAGTTGACATACTATCCCTGTTTGCTTTGTTTATTGCCTAGATTCCCCTACTAGAATATAAGCTTCATGTAGAACATGCATTTTACTACATTCATAGTTATATCCCTAGCAAAAAGAACAATGCCTAGTACTTAGCATATACTCAACAAATATTTGTTAAATAAGTAAATAAACTCCAATATGTGCTTGGCAACCAAACCTGAAGTAGACACCAAACACTAGATCTGATCCCATCTCTTGCCCCTTTTTCCTTCTAAGCTGTGGCCATATTTGTGTCCCTTGGTGCCTCAGTGGCCAGCATATTGTAGGCATTTAGTGCTTTCTTGATGAATAGAATTGAATTCCAAGACCCTTTGGAAACTGGAGAGGGGCTGCTAAGAGCAGAGTAGAGACTCTGAGAGCAGGTTGAGAGTATGACACTGGGGAGAATAAACAGAGGTACACAGAGACAGCCAGGGAGTGCCACCATGCCAGATCCAGTGTCATGTTGTGCTTTGGTTTGAATGTTTGCCCCCTCCGCCCCAAATTCAAATTTTGAAACTAGCCCGCAATGTGATGGTTTTAGGAGGTGAGGCCTTTGGGAGGTGGAGGGTATTATTGCCTTTATAAAAGAAGCTCCAGAGAGCTCCATGGGAGGACAGTGAGAAGGCTCCATCTATGAACCAGAAAGCAGATCCTCACTAGTAAGGAATCAGCCAGCACCTTGGTCTTGTACTTCCTAGCCTCCAGAACTGTGAGGAATAAATTTCAGTTGTGTATAAACTACCCAGTCTATGGTATTTTGTTATAGCAGTCCTAATGGACTAAGACAAGGTGGATGCAGAGATAAACATGACTCAGCCTTTCTTCTGTGCTGTTTTACCTTTCATGGGATCTAAGTTTCTTTTTATCCATTTCCAATTCCCAGCTAAAGGTAGCAGGATCATGTGATGGAAAGAGACCTGGACTTGGACGTTGGAAAGACCGGGGCTAGAAATCTAGCTTTGATACTTAGAGCTGAGTGAACGTGGATAAGTCATTCAATCTTTGAGAGTGTCATTTTTCTCGTCTATAAAGGGCAGCTAACGATGACTCCATCTCTAGATTTTCATGTGTATTAAATGAGAAAAGGTAGAAGGAAACGTTAATACCCATACCCAACACAGAGCAGGTACTCAGTAAACACAAGTTGAACCTATCCTGTTGGCAGGAATTGATAGACTATTTATATATGACCTTATATCCTTCTTGCTTTATTTATTTACAGCATTAGCTAATGAAATTTGTCTGTCTCTCTTTTAGACTCTTTTCCCATCCTTCCTCCCTTGTCTGTTCTCCTGTCTGATTCTCTGAACCACATAATCCTTATGCCAATTTAATTCTTCTTTTTACGCAAAAAACAAAAAACAAAAAACAAAAAAAAAACGGTAAACTGACTTTTAGAACAAACAAGAGCAAAAGAGAAGATGGTTGGATATTTTTATCCAGAGAAGTGAAGGAACCAGTGTACACACACACACACACACACACACACACACACACAAAAGGCTTGCATAGATGGAAAGGAGTGAAAATGAAAAGGAAGTGATTTCAATATCCCTGCCCCAGCACTGCCTACTCACAAAGCAGAGCTGCTTAACAGAGCTGCAGGAGGCCCCCCTAAAAGCATCCCTCTCTGTCTGGTGTCAGCAGGTGCCACTGTTAGGAAGTGGCAAGGGCAGGCGAAGGTTCAGAATGTCACAGGCTCTTGATGAGAAGGCACTGGGCACCCTCAGGAGGAGTTCTGGCTTCCGACTCACAGGAGAGAGGAAGAGGCTCCAGAATTAGGACTGAACTTGAATCCTGGGAGGACAGACTGAATGTCACAGGCTCTTGATGAGAAGGCACTGGGCACCCTCAGGAGGAGTTCTGGCTTCCGACCCACAGGAGAGAGGAAGAGGCTCCAGAATTAGGACTGAACTTGAATCCTGGGAGGACAGACTATCTCCAGGACCAGTGAGAATTATCCCAGAGGTGACACACTAGAAAGCATTAGAGAAAGTAAAAGCCACCTCCAGGATATGTCTTTCTGGGCTGTAACTGCAATGTTCTTGGGCTCCCCTCTGAGTTCCAATCCACTGCAGAGTAATTCCCACCTTGATTAAGACAAAGTTTTCTTCCCAGCACGATGTCCTCAAAAAATACATCCTTTAGGGCCATAAAAATCTATGCCAGTTACTAGTAGTTTGCTTTAGGCAATTAGCTAACATCTCTGAGATTCAGTTTCCTATCTATAAACTGGGAGTAATAATACCTGTCTCACAAAATTTAAAATATTAAATGAGAGAGCATATGGGTAACATAAATCTGCATTTGTCAATAACACCTCATCTGCTTAGAATATTTTCATGTCACAAAGCCTCTTTCTCTTTTCCAGTTCTCTGGAGAATTTCTGAAGTACGGATATAAATGTTAAAGGAAGGAAACACGATTCTCATTCCTATCATTGATGTCCCCCTGCCCACCCTTCACATTATTTCTCTAGTTTCTACACCTTACCAAGATCTATCCTCACCTCCTTTTCTCTCTAGAATGGCAACATAGTTGCCATGAACCACCCTAAGAACTAGTCTCTTTGAATAGTCTTGTGTGCATCACTTCTGCTCCCCAACCAAGGAGGCCCAAATAGTTTATCCTTGTAAATAAAGACAACAGAGTATGCAAATAATGCAAAGTTCTCTACTTAACCCTTGCCTTCCTACAATTCATTCTTTATATAGCCATAAAACTGCTCTTTTGAAAACTCGTAAGAATCTCACTCCTCTGCTGCAGCCTTCCAAAGACCTCCCATCTCATGAAGAGTAAAAAAAAAAAAAACAAACAAACAAAACAAACAAAAAAAAAACCTCACCTGCAAGGTCTCGCCCCTCTGCTTCTCAGGTTACAGCTTTCTTCTCTGGGCTGATAAGCAGCTTAGGGTGGTATGTGATTCCTTCCTCCATGGGGCTACTAGGTTAACAGAACAATCTTCCTAAATAACCAGTCTTATTACTTCACTCTTGTTTTAAAACCATTTACGGACTTATCTTTGTTTATTGGTGAATACCAGAAAGTGATTTATTTTGTGATCTCTATAGTCAGACAGAATCCTGGCTTCATCTCTGGGATCTGTGTGACCTTAGCAAGTTAAATCTCTCTTTGCTCCATTTTTAAAACGTGGATAATTATAGTATATAAATAAAATCTCCAGTACAGTGCCTACCTCCTAGTAAGTGATAAATAAATGGCAACTACTTCTGCTGAATTATATGGCAGAACCCAGACTCCTTATTGTATCATGCAAGACCCTTTTTAACATCATGTAAAACTATCTCACTTTAACATTCATCTTTTATCTCTGTCCTAATGGACAGTGCTCTCCAGCTACACTTAACTTTTCATTGTTTCCTAAGGAAAGCATATTTTTCATGATTGCCTTGCCCTGGCATAGGCTGGCCTTGGCCTTCATTTCCACATGGCAAATTTCTACTCAGTCTTCAAGACCCAGTTCAAGAATTGCATCAAGATAGTATGACTGAGTTCATCTGCTTTTTATACTTTCTGCATAAGAATCCCTTTGAAAGATGGAAAATATATTGTAATAAATAAATAAATACTTAACAACACTGGAAAATGTGAGAAGAGATCATCGGTATGGACCATAATTTTGATGTATATTTACAATTTCTACATTATAGAAAGCAGTCAGAATATCTCTATTTCTGGCTATCTGAGATATTTTTTGAAAAACTTCTGAATTAAAAAAAACCACTTGGAAATGATGGATAAAATGTAACATTCCTTTAAATGAGAAGCTAAGCTTCTGGGAAAAAATATATCTTCACGGACCTAAAACAGAGGGAAACTGAAAATTAAAGTTGCGAGCTGCCCCCCATGCAGCAACTCTCCTGGGAGCACTTGCAGTGTGTATAACCAAAAGGTTTGAGTTTTAATGGCTGCCAGGGAAGAAAACAAGGCCTTTGGTCTTTTTTTTTTTTTTTTTTTTTTTTTTTTTTT